TAAGGGCAATATTTAAGCAAAAGGCGATAGAATCGAAAAGTAAATTTGGACATTTAAACTATAAAATGTAATAAAGAGAGTAGAAAAGAACCATTAAAAGCATTTGTCTTTCCTTTAGATCCTATCCTTGTGACGCATGAATACTTATTTGGGACTACCCTGTATATTCGGTAAATGTGATATTTTTCTTCAGTCGAGCATTAGTACAAGACACTGAAGAAGCATGCGCATTGTAGACGAAATACGCGTCAAGGATAAGCAAATAAGGTAGGCGAATTAAATGGATATTACTAATCCTTCTCTCTCTCATTAGTAGTTTTTGATTCCCTGAAAATTTCAAGAAAATCTGATAATCACTTTGATTGTGGTAAGTAAATACGTTTGTGTCATTTTTATCGAATACACCCTTAGTCGTAATGATGGATTAAGCAATACTAGGAAAAACAATAAAGTCAAGAAGTAACGAGCTGCAAAGGCCGTGAAGTCCAACTAAATTCCTATTCTTACAAATATATCACGGAATCTCTGACGCAGCGTCTCGCGTACCAAGTGAAAATCAAATAAGGAAGCAACACGATTGAAAACCCTTTGTAGCCCATCGATAGCACCATACGAACTATAGTTTGTACTGCGAAAAGGTATCCTCAGCATCACTAGCGTGCACAGGAATCTTGTTAAGGAGGGGCAATTTTTTTTTCTATGGTGCATTTAATCTGGGGATGGGGAGTACTCCAAAGTACGTGGTAGATGGTGCTGTCCTCCTCCCACCTTTTCCCTACTGTTCAATTTAGCTAATTTTATTTATTTTTTGCTCCGGTGGTTGTTCATCTTCTTTACATTACATTGTGCAACGACTTTTGCACCTTCCGCGAAGTGTTTTTCCAGCACAGGATCGTAGTTAGCGACCAACTGGGTGGCACACTTTCCGCTCCTTCCGAATGTCCACGAAGTGGTCGGCTACCTTTGCAAAGTATGCGCACAATATCGACGAAATGTTCCATTATATAGCGATTTTCTAGCCGCTTTGCCTTACTAGCAGCAATCATAGCTGTTTTTTGGTGGTCCAGTTCTTCGTCGATAGCCTTCCTGGATTTGAAATTCTTCCAAGCTTCCCCACTACCAACATGGGTATCACTGCGATTGTGTTTGCCCAGCAACTCAGTCGATTTCTTCCAAATTTCAGTTACCTTTTATTCAGTTACCTTTCTGAAATTTTGGGCAGTACGTTTTTGTGAATTTTGAAGGCATCGTTACAATTTTTGAATATTTCAAGTAAGTATTTTTGTAAGCCCTTATATGCTGTTATAGTCACTTTACTGTTACCGTTGCGAGTACGTTAAACTTGGTCATTTTCAGCGAAAATTGTAGTTTTTTTTTCAAAATTTTGATCTAAATGCCAAGGCTAATAGAATCGTTAAAAGGTTTAAAAAATATATAACGATTGGACCAAAGGCTCACAAAACTATTTTGATAAACGAGTACAGGATTGTTAACTGAATGACGACTTGTGCGAAGGATTGAGCATGTCAACCACGGTAACAAAATACTTGAAATTTTCAAAGAAGATTCTTAGACAAATTCTTAGTAAGACAACAATCGACCAAGGTTCAATGGCAAACTTATATTTAATTTTCAATTAGGGAATCCAAAAGCTGTCTTTAAATTTTGTACAGTTGCGAAAAAGTCCATCCTCAGAATTCCTTTGGTTCTTTTAGAAATTTTTAGAACTCTATGAGCTCTTTTGAAATTCTTCTCAGAAGTCCTCTGGAATTATTTTGAGAATACTTCTTGACCTTTGCTCAGAACACCTTGGAACTTAAATTCCTTTAGAGTTTCAGAGGAAACTCCTCAGTATTATCTAGAAATTATTCCCGGAATGAGCTAGAAATTATTGGTACTCCCTTGAAATTTTCCCCAAAATCCCTTTGGAATTTCACTCAAAATTTTATTCTTTTCGGAATTATCTTGGAACTATTTAAAGGATTCACTAGAAATTACTCTCAGACATTTCTTGGAATACTGCCCAGAAATCTTTTGGAACAGTCCTCAGAATTCAATATCCTTGAGGATCTTCTCGGATTTTTTAGAACTCTCCTAAGAGCTCTTTTGAAATTCTTCTTAGAAGTCCACTGGAATTATATTTACAATTCTTCATGATTTTTTTCTCAGAACATCTTGGAACTGAAATTCCTTTAAAGTTTTAGAAATTATTCCCAGAATGAGCTAGAAATTATCCTCGGAATTCGCTTGAACTTTAGCTTAAAATCCCTTTGGAAGTTCACTCAAAATTTGATTTTCTCGGTTTTCTCTTCGAAATTATCTTGGAACTATCTGCAGGATGCACTAGAAATTATCCGCAGAATTCTATTTGAAATCTCTCCAGAAATATTTTGGGACTGTCCTAAGAATTCAATATCCTTGAGGTTCTTCTCGGAATATTCTAGAACTTTTTTTTTTCTCAGAACACATTGGAAATGAAATTCCCCTAATGTTTCAGAAGAATTTCCTCTGTATTCTCCGGAAATTCTTCCCAAAATGAACTTGAAATTATCTCCAGAATTTCCTTGAAATTTTCCCCAATATCCCTTTGGAATTTCATTCAAAATTTGATTCTCACGATATTATTTTCGAAATTATCTTGCAACTATCTGCAGGATTCACTAGAAATTATACGCAGAATTTCCATGGAATCCTCCCCAGAAATCTTTTCTTTTGGAACTTCTCTTCAGAATTCTATACCCTTAAGGTTCTTCTCAGAAGTCGAGTTTAAGTTGTCCGTCCATTCACCAAAACATTATAGTTTTTCTACCAGAAATGTTCAATAAAGCTTGCCCCTCCATTCACCAGAACTGTGCAATTTTAACATCAGGAATTTTCAATTCAGCTAGCCCCTTCATGCAGCAGATTGAATTTTATACCAGAAATTTTCAATACAAACTTGCCCCCAGAAAATTTAACACCAGAAAATTTAACACCAGAAAATTGTACACCAGGAAATTTCAATTGACCAGAACGATGCAAATAATTCACCGTTAATGTTCAAAAAAAAAAATGTTCTCCAATCTTCTGATTGGTACAGATTTCCTTTTTCCATTTTACACCAGACATTTTCAATATAGCTTGCTTCTCATATCATCAGAATGTTGCAAGTTTTCCACAAAATAAAACTTGCCCATATTTTCAGATTTTTCAGCATAAATTTTCAGTAAAGCAGCTTCCCTCCAATCATAAGAATGGAACATCAGAAATTATAATTAAAGTTTGTTCCTCTATTGAGCAAAAGGATGCAAATTTGAGACCAAACATTTTCCGAAAAGCTTGCCCATCCGGTGCAGATTTTCCTCCAGAAGTTTTCAATATAGCTTAATTTAAATAAAGCTTGTGCCTTCATTTACCAGACCAGTGCAAGTTTTCGACCAGAAATTTTCAATAAAGCATTCTCCTCCATTCACCAGAATGGTGCACCAACAATTGTCAGTGAAGTTTGTTTTACCATGCACTTTTGTGGTGCAATTCTCCGGCACCAGAATGGTGCAAATTTTCCACCATACATTTTCAATGAAGCTTGCATTCATCAGAACGATGCAAATTATGCACCAGAAAAATGAATAAACCTTGCTTCTACATTCACCAGAGTATTGTGAACGTTCGACAAGAAATATGCAGTTAAATGTGCACCTCCAAATGTTTAGCTTGATTCGATTTTTCCACCAGGTTTATTCATTTTGATTAGTCCCTCCATGATTGATGATATTTTTATACCAGATATTCAATAAAAAGCTTTCTCTTCGATTTACCACCACGAAGGTGATTTTTTTCAACCTTAAATTAACCCTCTTCTTTTATCCCTCCATGAACCACCTAGAAAAATATTACAACAGAATTTTTTTGAATGCACCACTGTGGTGCAATTTTTTCACCAGAAAATTTCATTGAAGTTTGTCTCTTTATGCACCTTTGTGGTGCAATTTTTAGACACCATTTCAAAGGAATTGACGCAATAAAAGGTTTACAGTGCCCTTATAGTATGAAATGAAGTTATTTTACCTTCAAATCCAGTTATCAAGAAAACAAGTTATTATATATCGTTATTTGGAAATGTGGAAATAAACACCTTTTTTAAGGAGGGGCAATTGCCCCACCCTGTGCACGCCAGTGCTCAGCATTGCGTTGTTACGGAGTGCTCGTGGTTGAACGTTAACGTCGATTTGTTGTTGAATAGAAGGACAATCGATTCTGCCCTGTAGAATGTCTGCCACAAACCCTTGTCCCTTGGCCCTTGTCGTATCTTTTCGGCTCCACAAAGGATCCAGGTGTATTGGAAGGCGATGAGGATCCCTCCAAGCCAATCGTCGAAGGGCAAACCAGATGAATCGTCGTTGAATAGACTCTACTCTTTGTATACTGTTTTGGTAGTTGGGATTCCATACAGGGCAGCAGTATTCTAACACTGACCGGACGAGGGAGCAGTAAAGCGACTTCAAACAGTAAAGGGTGTCCACGATGAAATTGCCACACTATGAAATTGCTCTAACTTTTTAACCGTTGGGTAGAATTTAATGAAAATTTGGGTGGATTTAGTTCATAGTGCATTATTTACATCCTGCAAGTTTTAAAGTCCTGTGATCAAAACTCGCGGAAATGGAGTCGAAAGAACAGTTCGAGCGTGATAAAATCTTGCACATTCATCACGAGAACAAGGATCTCTCGCATCGTTCCATCGCTAAAACGTTGGGAATCGCGAATTCCACGGTGTCGCGAGTGATTAAGCGGTTCGAGGAACGGTTGACCACCGATCGGAAGCCCAGAAGTGAAGGAAAAAGTATTCCGTACAACACCAAAAATCACAACCGCGTACTTTGACTATATGTTTTTAGTATTACTTCTACGTGAAGTCAACGATTTACATAGTTGAAGATGCTAATTTCAAATAACAGACTGTAGTGGTAATTTTTATACGATAGATGGAGTAGATGAAAGCATATAGTTGATAGTTGGGGCCTTCAACCGAAATCCGAACGCCTCCGTTAGGGATGTGGCTAAGAAGCTGCACCCAAGCCGAAGTTTTGTCCAGAAGGCCAAAACTAAGGCTGGGCTTCGAACGTTCAAGGTACAAAAGGCCCCTAATCGCGACGAGAAGCAGAACAAGTCCGCCAAAACCCGTGCCAGGAAGTTGTACCTCAACATGCTGACGAAAGTTGAATGCTGCATCATGGACGACGAAACATATGTGAAGGCCGACTTCAAACAGATCCCTGGCAACCTGTTTTTCACGGCCAAGGATAAGTTCAGCGTTCCGGAGCATGTCCGCACTCAGAAGATGTCCAAATTTGCGAAGAAATTCCTGGTTTGGCAAGCCATCTGCACGTGCGGGAAGCGGAGTGCACCTTTCGTAACCCAGGACACGATGAACGGACAGGTGTACATAAAAGAGTGCCTCCAGAAGCGGCTGCTTCCTCTCCTGAAGGCCCACAACGTCCCAACAATCTTCTGGCCGGATTTGGCCTCATGCCACTACTCCAAGGACGTGCTGAAGTGGTATGCGGACAATAAGGTCAATTTCGTGCCGAAAATGTTCAACTCTCCCAACACTCCGGAGCTCCGCCCCATCGAGAAGTACTGGGCGATTATGAAGCAGCACCCTCTTAAACGACCTAAGGTAGTGAAGACAGTCGAGGAACTGAAGAAAGTATGGGTTTACATGCAAAAAACGGTTGATTCACAGGTTGTGCAGAATCTTATGGCCGGGGTTAAGGCCAAGGTGCGGGCATTTGCGTATGGACTGTAAATAAAATACGAGTAAAATGGTAAAATGAAGTTTAATAGTTATTTCTCAATCCCTGAAAATTTGATGGCAATCGGATGAAAACTCGAATTTTGCGAATCAATTTTGTGTGTGGCAATTTCATCGTGGACACCCTTTAGATGTCCGTGAAACTTTTAGCTATCCTGAAAATGAAGCCGAGTGTTCTGGATGCCTTGTCGATCACCTATGAGATATTCTGGCTGTATGTGAGTTGACAATCTAAGATGACTCCCAGATCCCTAATGTGATTCACATGATGTACGCCTTCTGGGATATAACTGAATGTAATTGGATGTTTCTTCCGTGAGAACGTGATTACTGAACATTTTGTTGGATTAACAACCATGCGGTTCAGTTGGCACCAGCTAATCCAAACACGTAAAGCAACCAACGATACAGACAAAACGGTTGCTACGACTACCATGACAAACTCGCTCTGTAACATAGCTCGATCCGAGTGGTAGAAGGATAATGATATATTGCTTGCCTTCTTTGTTGCAATATACACGGATGAGGACATAGCTTGATATGAATCGAGAAAAGACATAACAAAAAAAAATGCCATTAACACACGTGTATCATGTTCGGCTCTACTTCGTGCTTGCCAACAATTTGCTCGTTTCCTTCTACCGCCCCGAGTGAGTTGTGTCGCACGGGCTGCTTGTCATGAAAAAGAAGGAAGAAGATTATATCATTTTGCTTTGCACTTCTGACATAGCGTTATTATTCGGTTCGTTGATCGCTTGTCAGTTTGTCATTAGGAGATATTTTTGATTCCTTGGTTGGCACCAATTAGCAAAAGCGTTGAGTTGAAGTTTCTATGTTTCGAGGGGTGCTTGATTAGTTTGGGACCGAAGATAGTACCAGAGTTGAGCCAAAAAGTTGAGCACGTTTCTTCGGGACCTTCTAGTCTTATAGTTACCTCTATGATGTTACTATGATTGAAGGAAACCGTGAAGAGTGAAAACGATAAATTTTTGATTCTGCATAAAAAAGATCCTATTTTCTCGAAGTTCTAGAAATTGAAATACCTTTAAAATAAAATATTATACCACGTCGAAGTTCAAGTGGTAGGAACCGTAATTTAAAACTGCTCGAATGATACGATCCATTACTAAGGATTGTTGAAAAAACCGTCATTTATAAAGGAAAAATTAAGTCATATCCACATCATAACTTACACGTGGAAAGCCATTCCATCCGTTGTTCCATCCAAACCTGGCAGAGCGAAGCATTGCACATAACTTCAAATGAATTCCTCAACCACAGACGACATTGGGACCATATCGCAGCGTCCAAGTGGCATGAAGGAACTTTCCAGCAACTCACTCGGGGAATTGGCAAATAGACCTACTCACATATGCGCGCCGTAGAAGAACCCTCAGTGCCACCGTGCAAATGTTCCTTTTTAATTAAAACAGGAAATTGCTTCTTTGCTTCTTCCAGCGAGATGTGATTGCGTGAAGTTTTTGCACACACGCACATTTTTTTATTTTTTATTTTTCGTTTTGTTTGTTCTCATCAACTCGAGAGCAGACCAAGTCAGCATAGGTATGTATGTAGGTAAGCCTACCCACCTAATGATGATGATGGTGCGGTGGTGATAAGCAGTTGGAATATGTCCCGCTTATTTGTTCGAGGTGCAAGGAGGGGGATGCATTCGTATAAAAATTTAGAAGCGTGCGCGTGTTCTGTTCGTGTGCTCTGGTGATGGATGGGCGTATCACGAGTGAAAAGTTTTTCTGGTTTCATCTTTGGGCCGACAATCTGGCACGCGTACAGTAAGCCCTCGATATATGCGGTGGGTGGTATCGTCCACCCACCGCTATTTCTCGGCAGCCCTTAAACCAATTACGGTGAAGCTCAGAAAATCAGCTCAATTGGTTGAAGGACAGCCGAGAAATAGCGGTCGGTGAACGGTGCCACCCACCGCATATGTGGAGGGGTTACTGTAATACAATTGGAGAAGGTTGGTGATTTTTCCTGAAAGGATTTTCTCGACAGAGAATTGGATGGTTTTGTTTATTAGAATTTTCATGACGAGCTGGGGCTTGTTTTCCGCCTGTTAGGAATGAAGTGTGCTTTTTTGCCGCGGGGTACACTTTTGATGTGAATTTATTTTGAGCAAACAATCACCCCAGCCGTCGTCTTTCGGCTTTGTGCTTGCTTACGACGCGGTTCGGATGCTGCTGGTCTGGTGATTATGTTAGGGGATTTATTGCGTGGCGTCTAGTGTAGATTGGAAGTTTGAATCGAGGCTTGAGCTGAAGTGCTGAGCTATTGTTAACAAAGGAAAGGATTAAATGAAGCGAGGTGGCAACAATGATTAAGTATCATGTTGCCTCGGCAAACGATACAAGCGAATGTAAATAAGCAATGTTCTGATATTTCAAGCATATAGTGCATGTCGTTAGCACCGATGAATCCTTTTGATGATCTGAGCTTTTAAAGCATCCGTAGAAATTCCCATGTGGCTATTCCCATGATTATAAAAAACTTGAGTGTGGACAAAAGGTCGGAATGGGGAAATAGTCGAAAGGACAGAACGTCGCCTGGATGAAAGGCCGAAATGGACAAAAGGTTGAAGTGGAGAAAAGGTCAGAAGAGGTTGTGATTAGCAATCTATTATCAGTGCGTAAATTCCGGTGAATCACTTTCAAGTTCAATAACGGCGTAGGCCTCGTCCTTACGGTCATCGAGGTTGAAAAGAATTGTTAGTTTTGCATCTGCTGTTACAAGAGACCGAGTATACCTCTTCATCTCCACAGCTGTCACAGGAAGGACGTTTTTGTTAGTCTGAAGGGTGAATTAAATCTGGATTCATTTAGGAAAGTGATGTTATCTTAAGAGTTGGTTGTAAATTCTATCATGAAGCTTTAGTGTGATAATTTATTAACGATCTTTAGAAGAGGGTCAGAGGATAGTTCCGTTAGAGTACGGCAGTATGAAAATTGAATAGAAGTTGAAAATGAGCGAAGGGCCATTAATGCGACAGTACAAAGTCAAACGAACACCTTTTGCCTAACCCGTACGATGTACGCGGAGATTTAAAGATAATCGCTATAAATATAACGTCCTAATAAATTGGTTCTTACTAATCATGAAAACATAACAAATGGTCCACAAGCAGTTCCGTTAATGTCCCGCATACCACAATGAGAAACGTGTGATAAATTTCTAATTAGTTCCCTGCGTAGATAAAATCGAATAAATGAGTTGACTTTGGGTTCAACACGAATCATCTATTCTTAAATCATGCATTAGTTAATCAAATTTGAAACCATCGCTAGTTTCATATCGTAATCTTTGAATCGGAAATGCCCTAACTATAACTACACTCAAATCTAGGATACATTACTCCTAATTACTTGAGCTAACAAACCATCTTCCTGAGTCCTTGAGGTTTTCGTTGGTTCGCACCTAGCTTTGCATACCGACTTCGGATCCACGGTAGCTTATATGGCAGCACGATCCATGGAGGAGGGTGCCAGTCAACTCCTTCATTCCGTTTGATGTATGATGTACAGTCACGTCTTTTGACGTCGTAGTCATTACCGCGCCTTTTCCTATTACACACTGAGCAGCTGTATACAACGGTAATCCGTTCTATTCTGCCTTCAACCCACGCGGCGTAGCAAAGGATGAAGGATTGTTGCCCGCGAGGGAAAATTGAAAACCACCTCTCCAGACTGCTTGCCAGCTGAAACGGATTCCAGACGTATGTGTTAATTACGATTTCCTCCAATCACCTCCAATCCTCTAACACCTTCGCTCACTACCGTCTTCCCATTAGCATTCAGGTTGGACTGATATTTTATTTTCCTATTCCGCAAAGTGCCAACTACGTCGCCGTCGGAATGAAAAATGAGGAAAAGTCGTGCATGGGCCACATATTTGCGTTAAGACTCCTTGCTCCTGCGGCTTCGGCACCGCAAGCTTAATCAGCGAAAGTCTGAGTCGTCCATATGAGGATGACGACTCCAAATTAGCACAGATTTCCGTACAAATGAGTTGCACCACGTGGTTGATGGCTTAAATATTCCACTAGATAACCTATTTGCGTGATGTAGTGAAGAGGCCGTGCGTTGTGCGGTACGATTTTTCACAATCTTGCGGTGAGGCCTAGCTTTAAATAGGGAGCTTTTGATAATTTGAGGAGCGTATTTTAATGTTAGGGACAAGGTTGATGTAGTTCACAAATGGCCACTGTCGACTGATTTGTTTTGCAAAATCAGCCATGATAGCGGTCATTTGCAGTGATGACGGCCTTTAGATTGACAAAAGAGATTCATACACGGAGCCGAAAAATTACCCTAAATTAAGTTCTTTTCACTCATCTCCCATGTTCCGTTCTATAATCTAATTTTCAGTAAACCGCTAATAGTAGTTTACCTTTGACTACGGCAAAAATAATTACTTACTCGTGAGTATTTTCTACCCAAAATTAAGTTAAATTGACTCAAATTTGAGAATATCTCGTATACTCACTAGTAGCAACAATCAATACGAAACTAACGATTTTAAATTGGCTCACCACTTTAGTAGCCTATTGGTCCCAAGCAAACGATTAACGTACCCTATTCTAGTCGAAATTCTAGTACTACGCAATGTTTGTTTTGATTCGCTATGAAAGTTTGACAGATAAAATGAGGGGTTATTGGTTTTTCCTATGTTTCGAGGGGTGATTCGACAAGCTTGGGACCGAAGATAGTACCAGAGGTGATCCAAAAAGTTGAGCACGTTTCTTCGGGACCTACTTGTCTTAGAGTTACCTCTATGCTAGTAGCATTCTCAACTTTTTGGCACAGCTCTGGTACTATCTTCGGTCCCAAGTTAATCGATTCACCCCTCAAAACATAGGAAAATCCACGAACCCCTCATTTTATCTGTCAAAATTTCGTAGCGCATCAAAATAAACATATTGTAGTACTAGAATGTCAACTAGAATGGGATACGTTAATCAATTTGCTTGGGACCAATACCCAATTAACCATAAGCACGTTATTTCGCCTTTTTGGCTACATACGGGCCTCATCAGAACTTGCAAACACTGGTGTGGCCGTTGTTCAGTTGTATATAGCCAAAAAGGCGAAATAACGTGCCCATGGTTACTTGGGTAGG